CAAGTGCATCTGTGATTTCTTCCCTATTCTGTAGGCCCTCAGCATTTCCAGTTTGTGGCCTTACCATTCAGCCTAGCTTCTGCACCTTGAGTTTTCAACAAAGTACTGGTCCCTGTTCTGTGCTGTTTCCAGGGTATTCCTATTGTGGGATATCTGGCTAATCTCCTGTTGAGGAAACATTCAGCACCAGTGTCGGCCAACCATGTGCCATGAACAGTTCAGACCTTGGAGTTCCTGACTCTTTAGAACTCTTTAGCGCTAGAACCAACTCATCATTTGAGTATCTGGCTGTCATCCTAGGTACAGCTCAAGCCAGAGTTTTTCTTCCCCAGGAGAAACTCTCAACTCTCAAATTCTGATTCTTCAGTCCACAAGTAAGCTGACCCTCCACTTCTGCATGTCCCATTAATCCAGCATGTCCCATTAATTATCTTGAACATTCTGGAGGTTCAGTTGATTTGGTTGTATCTACAGCTCTGAACATTCCAACTGACAGGTCATCCGATCAGGCTCAAGTTAGACAACACCACAGCAGTGGCGTACAACTACCAAAAGTCTTGCCGTTGCAAGAGATGTACAGTATAAAGAGTTATATTCTGGGCAGAACTTCACTTGCACCGTTAACGTCCTTGACGTGGAAAATTTTCAAGCAGAATTCCTAAGCCAGCAGCGCCTGGACCCAGGTGAGCGGTCCCTTTACCCGGTAACGTTCTAGGGCCTGTGTCACTGGTGGAGGACACTGGATGTTTGTCTCAAGACCTCCCAGGTTCATCATCATTAGGCAGCGAGATCCTCTGGCAGAAGCATTGGGTGCTCTGGTGGCTCTGTGGGATCAGTACAGCCTGGTTTATGCCTTTCCTCTACATATCTACTTTGAAGGATCGAGATGGAGGGCATTCCAGTGATCCTTTTCGGAATAACTTTGCAATGGCCCAGGTGGATGTGGTACTCTGACCTTTCAAATCCTCTGGATCTTCTGTCCAACAGATAGTTTACTATCCTGCTTCACAGTTGAAACCTCAATCTTCAGGCAAGGGCATCTCCGAAGCAGTGGTTTCTGGGAAGCTGAAAATGAGGAAATCTGCTTCCTGCAAGGTCTGTGACCACACATGGAAGGCATAATATGCTTGGTGCGAGAAGAGGAACTTTCATTCCTTAAAATTCTGCTTGGGTTGAATCCAGGCCCCTGGGAAATTAAGCCTGGATTGACATTTGACCCAAAGTACCATCAAGAGGCAGATCTTGGTGCTTGCCGTTTTGTTCAGAGACAGTTGGCTTCCCAATCTTTGATTTAAGACTTTTCTGCAAAGTGTCTCTTATATTGCTCCCCCTGTGCACTTCCCTTGACTCTGTGGTATCTGAATTTGGTTCTCTGAGAACTTCAAAGACTGCCATTTTAACCTGTTAGGAGCATTTCCTTTTTCACTCTGACTTAGGTTATCTCTCGATGCCATTACCTCTTGGAGGTGTGTGTCCAAACTGGTATCTTTGTCCTGTAAAGAGCCAAACTGGGTCTTACACAGGTACAAGGTGGTATTGAGGCCTAAACCCTACTTTTTCTTTCTAAAGTGGTTGTGGCCTTTCACCTCAACTGGAGATATTCTTTTTGTTTTGTCCGTCTCCAGTTTATCAGAAGGAGATTTCCCTACATTAACTGGATATAGTTAATACCGTGCATTTCTACCTCTACCAGCCACCTCTTCTATTAGAAATACTGACTCTCTGTCATCCCTGATGGTCCCTGTAAAGGGGAACCAGCCTCTCATACCACCATTTCTCGGTGGCTCAGACAGATCATTATTCAAACCTATGGTCTTATAGATTTGGTTCCACTCTATAAGTTCTGTGAATGCCTCTTGGGCATTTGGCATTCCATATTTGCAAGGCTGCCACCTGCTCACATGTTCTGCAAGTTTTACCAGGTGGATGTTCAGACCTCATCTGGTGCCAGCTTCAGGTGTAAATTTCCCTAGGCTGCTGTTTGAGCTCCAGGCACTCCCCAGTTCAGGTTTTTTTTGTTGGCCTGTTAGTGTTTTACTACTGTACTCTTACTTTTGCATGTCCCAACAATCTCTACATTCCTGTGTCTCTCTAGTAACCCTAAATGAAATGCAGTTTTTACTTAATGTAAAATCAATTTCTTGGATTTGGAGGCAAATTTCTAGGTTGCCATTCATCAAGATGAACGAATTGGGGAATTCAAAATGTTACAGTTGTCACCAGAACAAGAGGTGAGGGTAAATCATCCAATGGTGATCATTGGTTTTGTGATAACTGTCTAAGAGGGTAGTTCCCCACTCTTTGTAGAGAACACACTGCATGTTCAAGACAGAAAATAAAAGGAAATATCCCCAATGGGACCTCTGAGCTGCACATGCAACCATCTTTTCAGAACCCTGAAGAGGCATTGGCAGAAATAACCTGACCATTCAAAGAGTCTGAAGAGGGGCTGAGGGTAGTTGAAGTGTCAGCAGACACTTCAGATAGTCTCCTAACTATATAAATATTTGGCTAGGATCACATGCTATGATCTAATAACCAATATTTTGTCATCCAATATAAAAGGTTTGGCTATACATCCCCAATTCCAAAAAAGTTGGGACACTGTGTAAAATCTACATAAAAACAGAATGCAATGATTTGCAAATCTCATAAACCCGTATTTTATTCACAAGAGAACATGGAAAACACCAAAGGTTTAAACTGAGAAAATGTACCATTTTAAGAAAAATATAAGGTCATTTTGAAATTGATGGCAGCAACATGTCTCAAAAAAAAGTTGGCACAGGGTCATGTTTACCATAGTGTAGCATCCCTTTTGTTTTTAACAGCACTCTGTAAACGTCTAGGAATTGAGGGGCCAGTTGCAGGAGCTCTTGGAAGAAATGTTGTCCCATTCTTGCCTGATATAGATTTCTAACTGCTCAACAGTCCTGGGTCATTTTTGTCTGACTTTTTGTTTTAAGGATCCGCCAAATATTTTCAATTGGTGAAAAGTCTGGACTGCAGGCAGGCTAGTTAAGCACTCAGACTCTTCTTCTACGAAGCCATGCTGTTGTCACAGATGCAGTATGCGGTCTAGCATTGTCCTGCTGAAATATGCAAGGCCTTCCCTGAAAAAGATGTCATCTGGATGGCAGCATATGCTGCTCCAAAACCTGGATATATCTTTCAGCATTGATGGTACCATTCCATACATGCTAATGCTCCGCCATACCAGAGATGCAGGCTTTTGAACTGAGCGCTGATGACAAGCCTGAAGATCCTTTCTTCTTTAGTCTGGAGGATGCAACACCCATGGTTACCAAAAAGACTGTCAAATTTTGATTCGTCTGACCACAGAATAGTTTTAAACTTTGCAACAGACCATTTTAAATGTTCTTAGGCCCAGAGAAGACAGCAGCGTTTCTGGATCATGTTCAGCTATGGATTCTTTTTTGCATGATAGAGCTTTAACTTGCATTTTTGGATGGCATGGCGGGCTGTGTTCAGACAGTCATTTTTGGAAGTTTTCCTGAGCCCATGCAGTGAAGTCCATCACAGAATCATGCCTGTTTTATTAAAGGGCATTTAATATTGTGTTTATGCCTTGTCTCTTGCGCACAGAGATTTCTCCAGATTCTCGGATGCTTTTGAAATTATGTACTGTAGATGATGATATATTTAAAGCCTTTTACGTTTAGGAGCATTATTTAGAAATTGCTGCCATTAATTTCAAAATTACCTTTTTTTTTTTTTTTTGCTCTAAATGGTAAATTTTCTCAGTTTAAACTTTTGGTATGTTTGCTATTGTTAATAAAATGTGTTTGTGAGATTTGCAAATCATTGCATTCTGTTTTTATGTAGATTTTACACAGCGTCCCAACTTTTATGGAATTTAGGCTGTACTTTTAACTACCTCCCGGCCAGCCGCTATGTATACACGGCCGGCCGGGAGCTTCTTGGATGTAACTGGGCGTGTATACACGTCCTGTTACATCCGCCCACGAGTGGAAATCCACACTATTTGAAAAAGAGGCAGCGATGCCCGTTAATACAGCGTTGCATGATGGAATAAATGTCAAAGTACTGCAGCGCTGAACACTGAAAAATGGCCTGGCCAGGAAGGGGGTCTAAACACCTGGTCTTCAAGCGGTTAAGATGTGTTCTTTCATTTTTTTTTGCCGCATGCTATGGAAAAACAAAACAATAAATACATTAACGTGCAACTGAACTTTTCTTATCTTTAGATAGCGTGGATAGGGATTCGAGCACATGTTGGGTTTTTATTATTCTCTGTTTTTCTGTTAGGTAGATGCACCCCCACTATTTGTTCTGGTGACCGTTATCACTGGCAGTGAAAGTAATAGGAAATCCCAAGTTTTGGGTTGTCATCAGGAATAGATGGGAAATCTTCCAATGGATACGCTAGTTCTGATGACCATGCTCACGACCACGGATTTTCCTCTCTTTGGTGGGAATTACTCTTGTGGCTATCGGAGAGAAAGCCAAGAGAAATCTCACCAATGGGGTACAAATGGCAAAAAAAGCTGATTGGTTATAACCCTCCCTTCCTCTATCCAAAATGTAAAAAGGTTTTGGCTTCAGCTCTACTTTAAGCTGACTTTAACAATGGCACCTTTTAGGTAGACTACTGTATACCTTTCCTGGTGCATGTGACAAGATTAGAGAAGTCTGCTTTATTAGAATTTAGGATATTGTTTTGTGTGGATTTAACGTTTGCGCTTGAAAATGTTTACGACACACAAGTTGAGTTCAATGTTCCCTCATTGTTATTTAATATTGCAGGAATTCTTATATTTGAAGTGGTTTAAAAGTCTGTAAAAATCATCTCAGCATGGATTTGAAAATTAATTCCTGTATTGGAGAGAAAAAAAATGTTTAGTTCATCCTGTTATGGAATTTTTGTATTCTTGCAAGGATCTTGCATGTATCAATAATATATCATAGTTGTCACAGCACATTTTCTATTAATGTTCATTTATTCTCTCTTGTAACAGAGCCACCTTCAAAACCTGAAATTATAAGCCAGGCAACATTTTTGGAAACAGGAAAGCTAAACCTGGTAAGCCAATAAAAGGGATCATTATCTGACATAATTGGAAACATCTTTTATATTTTTTTTTCTTTGGCATCACCTGTCTGTTTTCTTTACAATTATAAAGACATTTTTTATGTACAGTGTTGAATCAGCACTTGTTTTTTATTGATGCAGGTTGGAGACTGTGTTGCTAAAGACAGCTATCCAGATGGCAATATTACATGGTACAGAAACGGCCAAGTCCTTTTGCCAGTGGATGGAGGTATGCTCTACATTGCTTTGATTTTATTGTTTGTTTCTGTTGCCTTGCTGGTTAAATGGAGTAATCTCTGCCTGAAGCCTAAGATTTTTCATAGAATTTAGAAAATGTGCTTTGTTTATAGTAGGAAAAAAATGCTAATTATTTTGCTTTGGCTCGTAAGTATAGCTGATGGTGATAAACTTGGTAAAGCAGTAGCATTTAAGCTTTATGTAGAGTGCCTCAGTAACCCCAAAAACATTAAGCACTTTATTATGCAGATATAGACTTAATCTAGTAAATTGGAACTTTAACTTGCTGTCTCCTGCCTCTAAAGCATGGACAGCCTCAGTCAGTGTGAGACAGTGGACTAATATGTTTGTAAATCAGTAAAGAAGCTGGACAGAATTAGAGTCTGTGAACATATGTTTGCACGCCACATACAGCATATCACGGTCTGAATTTCATTCATAGTGGAGATCGTAGAGGGGTTAAAAATAATGTGCCAAATTGATTGTGAGGTAGAAGTTATTCCTAAATCTGGCCTTCTTTCTTGTTTATTAAAGCCTATTTTTCAGTTTTAATCCACTAAATACATTTCAGGTGCATGAAAAAAAAGGTGTGCAAAGTCTTAACACCCATTCTTTTTGTGTGGAAGCAGTGAACTCTCTGCAGAAGTCTGACATGCTCCCTGCTGAGATGAAGCTAGAGCTTTCCAAACAGCAAGGAGCTTGAGCTTTCCTAATTGCAGAGCTATAGGTCTGAACGAGGTGAGGGCATGTCTGACTTCTGCCATCTAAACCAGTTTTCATTTTCCTTTTTAAAATGCACATTTCAGATCCCAGTATTTGCAAAATATCCCCAAAAGCCATATTTTATTAAGCTCTTGCCGTCCGCCCGTAGTAAAAAAACGGACGGACGGCACTGCTGCATTGGTGGGTTGCCGTCGCCAGACGGCATTTTTTTTCTGCTCGCGCGTGCCCCCTAGCGGG